GGTTAATCTACATTTCTGAGTATTTTCAGAGAACTGAGATCTAAAGATAAATTTTAGAAATATGGTCTCATTTCCTAGCCTTCTCTTGTGTTTCAGTCCAGTTGGACTATGTTATTTACCATTCCACCAAGAATGCCCTTCCCCAATCTCCTTCTGTTGAAATCCTAGCCATTCTTCAAAAGCCAGTTGACATGCCACCTCCTCCAAGTAGCCATTCTCAATCTTTGGAGACTTAGAGGATTTAGAGACGCATTAATTAGACTGCTGGAGGTTGGGATTTGGGGAAGTCTATGCTAATGAAAGGAAAAGATGCAAGGTAAGAAGAAGAAACGGTGGAGAGAAATGTACAGGAAAGGTAAGAGAACTGTCAGCAGTGTTGTTGGTGACCTGCACAAAGCCTTACAAATTATATTCGATGGTGCCCAGCTAGTAGGAGTAAGATGAAGATTAAATGAGACAACATATGTAAAATATCTAGCACAGTGTCTGGAAGGGCAGCAACATGATAGTTCCTAATCTCATTTCCTGCCATAGGAACACAGTCATCTCCATGCTGCATAAGGGTTGCCAGCCTGTCCAGGGAGGAGTAGGACAAGCAGAGGCGAGAAGAGACTCAGTGGGGAAAAGAGAAGTCAGGAGGAGATATATGGGAATAGCACAAAGAGGGGAACAACACAAAGAGGAAAACGAGAGGCAGATATTGAGAGGATGAGAGAGAAAAAGGAAATGTAAGGGAGTCATGGCAGAGAAAGGAAGGACAGAAGGAAAATGGAAACAAAAGGACAAAGAGAGACAAGTAAGAGGAAAGGCGTTCTGGGACCCAGGAAGAAAAAGTTTGTGCTGCCCTGCAGAATCTGACCCAGAGGAAGAGTCCTAGAGGCAACCAGATGGAGCACCCAAACTTGGGTGCTAATCACTTGCCACTGTGCTCTCAGATGCATTCTCCTTTCACTGTCTCACGTGTATTGTAGGGATTCTGACCCCGGTCCTCTGTCATCCTGTCCACTAGCTTCTCCTGCTTTCTGCCACTCAGTGGTCCTGGGGGCAGGGAGAAGAAGGGAGAAGCCAGGGGATTCCACCCACCTCCTACTTTTGGAAGCCACCTGTGGTGGCTGCACTTCCTTCAGGGCTGGAACTGCTGGACAAGCACTTCATGGCTCTGGCAGCCCTCTGCGGTGAGAATTGGGTAGTGGGGAGGAGGTGCATCCAGTAGCTGCTAATCTCAGGATTGCCTCACCTTCCACTGGCTGCACTTCCAGTTCTTTCAACACTTTTGTAACTAATTTGCTGCATTAAATTATCACTATTGAATTGTCTGGGTAAGAAAACTTTACTTTCACTTGGATTCACTGGCAGAGTTCAAAGACAGCTTTCCTAATGGGACTGTAAGCAGCACACTTAGAGAAAGAAATCCAGCCATCCCAGGAGTCCAGAAGGGTCAGGGTCCACTTCTCCAGTGTTTGATCAGGCAGCGACAAATCCATACTAGCTATCAGGGTTGGAGGGCTCTTAGCCTAGGAGTTATCTGTACGATGACTGGGTTCACGACTATTCCTTCATGATTTATTCTATTCATTTTGATCACTGTGAGCCTTGGCTTAAGGAATATCTCTGTAGAATTCAATTTCATTTCTCCAAGGGTTTTTTAAGTGGCCATTATCAGTATACAGGGCACATAGCTAGGTGTGGTGGGGAGGATATACAGAGAGACACGGGAAAAATGGTAGGCATGTTCAGTTTTTGGAAATGTTTGCTTTCTGCAAGATGGTTTGTGGACCGGTCTATCGCGAGACCCTCTTGATAGAGACCTGAGTTTTTCCAGTCCCATCAAAGCCGCAGACAATCAGAGGCGATATTATTCTTACAGCTTTCATTACTCCCATCCCTGGAACCCTGTTAAAACCAGGCTCCTCTTATTAAGGAATCCACAGACTGGTCGGGGCACTGCCTAGGCACACACAACTGACCCCCAAGTCAGAGTGATACCAGCTACAGGGAAGATTCTGCTCAGGGGATCGGGAAGGCGGCACAGTGATGGTAGGAGAAGGCAGAGGAGCTGAGTCTATGAAAGTTTGACAGGTGGAGGTAGCTAAGGGGTTTTCTGGCAGAGAACATAGCACGATCAAAATCGAGTGTGAAAAGACAGAGGCATGTGAGGTGCTGTCTTTAGACAGGGGCTTTGGCTTGAGGGTTGGGAAAGGAGACGGAAGCGTGGAGGCCCAGCTCTTGGGGACTCTGAGACTGAGGCATGAAAGCTTGAGGCCCTGGGGAGTCATTGGAGGATCTTGAACACCACAGTGGCAAGGTCACTTCTGGCGGGGCCGGGGGTGGGGGCAACGTTGTGATTAGAAGCAGAGAAGCTGGAAGCAGGGAAAGGAACTGCGAGCTGGGGGGTGGAGGGGACAGTTTATACAGGAAGCCTGGACTTGACCATCGCCAAAGACGCATATTAACATTGGAACTGCTCTTCTGTTGAAGGGCATTCTTCCTCCGTCGGGGTGGGGGGCGGGGGGAAGTGCCCCTTCTGCAGCTGTGTGATACGAAGTCTCCAGCCAGAGAAGTTTCGAATTTCTCCTTGCCAAGGTCGGGCCACTACAGGTGGGCGATCGCGAACCCTGGGCGAACGACTGGCTCTACGCCCTCCCTGAGAAACCGCCGCGGCTTGTCCCCTCCAGGCCTGGGCACCGCCGTGGGCCGTGCCCGGCAGGGCGCTCCGGGAGCTGCGCCGCGGCGGCTCGAGGAGGCCTGGCGGGCGGCGGCGAGAGGCTGTGCCCCAGTTTGTGTCCAATCAGGGAGTGCGGGCTGTGCCCCGAGCCGGGCAGCAATGCGTAAACAAACCCACGGCAACTCCTCCGCCCCCTCGGCGCGCTCGCCCCGCGCCTGCCATCGCCGCCGTTGCCGCCGCCGCCGCCGCGGGCCCCGCTCTCCTCGCGCCCGCCCGCCGGCCCGGCCCAGCCCCCAGCCCGGCGCCGCTCGCACCCCCGCTGCCCCGCCCCGCCCCCGCCGGCGCGGGCTCCCTCACCTACCGCCCCACGCGCGCGCGCGCTCGCGCACCACGCGCCCCGCGCGGCCCGCCCGGATCGTGGCCTCTCGAGAGCAAGGTAAGGGCGATGCGCGGGGACCACGGCGGCTTCCCCGCCCGGCGCGGCCCAGGGAAGTTTCTGGCGTGGCTGTTTTCCGCTGGGCAGGGGGTGGGGAGGCCCCGGGCGCCGGGCGAGCCTGGCGGGCGGGAGGGGGCCGCCTGGCGCCCCGGGGTCACAAGTTGCCTAACCTGACATTGGTGCGGGCTGGCGGGCGGCGCGCCGAGAGGGGCTGGAGGCGCGGCGGGGCCGGGCGCCGGGCGGGCAAGGGGAGGGCCCCGAGGAACTTTCTTTTCCCCAGAGGGGCGCCTTCTAGCCCCGGCCGCGGCCCCGCCACGGGAGCAGCGGCTCCCTGGCTGGAGGGAGACCGTGAAATGTGTTTGAAGAAGCTGACGCAGTTTGTGACGCTTGCGGCTTCCTGACGGGGACCGGCAACAGCAGCGCCTTCGCCGAGGAGGGACGAGCCTTGTCGGCGCTCGGGCCCTTCCCGCGCCCGGCAGCCGCGCGCCCCGGCGCCTAGTTCGGGGGCCGAGGGCTCGGGACGCGAGCATCTGCCGCCGGTTGGGAGACGGGCCCCGGCAGCGCGCGTCGCTTCCGTTTTGATTAGCTCAGGTTATTATATAAGATGTCACGGAGAGGAAAGGGGCGAGCGGGAGGCGCGATGGCCTTCTGCGAGTGGCAGGGAGGGGCAGAGGCTGGGCCAGGCGGGACCCACCTGTGCGCCCTCCGCGCCCCCTGCGGGCGCCGCCCGCGCGCGTGCCGGGGTGGGGGCTGGTGGGGGAGGGAAGGGACAGACGTGCCCGCCGCTCCCCTCCCCGCCCGGGGAACACTCCTACAGCGGCGAAAACGTGCTGTTTCCTCCCCACCGACTCGCCTGGGTCTACTCATTTCTGGCTCCAGGCGTTTGTACTTTGAAACATTTGTTTAATATTAAGGGAGCTGCGTGTGCGGCCGTCATAGTACGCCCGAAACGTGTGGCCGTGAGCTCCGGGGTAGTGAATGAATCATCGCCCCGCGGACCGGGCCGCGATGATTCATGTGGGGTACACACGCGCGCGTACGCGCCGTGTGCCTCTGACCCGGGGAGAGCGGCCCCGCTGCAGTGATGACGCCTGGAGGGGCGGGGGAGAGTTAGTGCGAAAGGGCGGCGGAGTTTCCCCCCTTTCCACAGTAACTGGGGGTGTCAGGGTCCCCACATTCCCCAAGGCTTTTTTCGCGTTCTTGGAAGAGTTACAGGATTCCACCTGGTTGCATTAATGAGTCGGTGGAGGAGCGCTGGTTCGCTGGTGCTGTCATATTCAGGATTTGGATGGTGTCAAGTGAGGGAGGTACCAAACTCTGACGGAATCCAGCTAGTAATTGCGTCTACTTAAGTGACTATAAGTAATTAGAAAATTCTAAAAAGTTAGTGGATCTTAAAAGAAAAATAAGTGGCTCCTTAAGTAGAGAGTCTTAAAGATTAGTTTTTTGAGGTTTTTTTTTTTAAAGTCAAATCCTAAAAGGAGCCTAGTTTGCCATTCATGAATACAGAATTTCTCCCAGTGTGATCACCCTTAATGACTAATTTTACTCATTCCCACTCCACCCCACATTTGTAGGGTTGAGTAAAGTTGTCTCTTTACTGAGAACTCACCTCAAATGGGATCTACTCAGCAAGGCCCTGTTGATGATTTTGTTTATAACTTCTGACCCCCTCCAACAACCTTACAGTCCTATTTTATTTTCTTCATAGCACTTAATTGCTATCTAATACTATTTTGTTCAGGTGTTCTTTAAGTCTGGTCTCTTCCTATTAGAATGTAATCTCCACCATGGCAGGTATTTTTGCCTGTTTTGTTCATTGCTATAACCCTAGCATCTACAACAGTGCCTGGCATATATTGGGCATGCAGTATTTGTTGACTAGTGAATGAACAAACTCTTTTCCTGATTTCTTGGTAGGACCGTCTTTGACAGTTGAAATTCAGTGCCTTTTGTGGGCAAGTCACCAAGTTGGCACAGTTATTTCTAATTTTCTTTCTTTCTTTTTTTCCTTCTGGTTTTCTTTTGGTTTGTTCCTTCTCTGTGCTGTTAACTTACAGCACAAGATGGGTTTGAACATCATATCCTAAGATACTTAGTATGAAGAAAGATAAGTAGTGTGGATCCCTGTCAAGAGAAAATATATTACTGCGTAAGTTGGTCGATGATTAAAAATATAATCTGTGCTAGTTGAAAAAAAGTGCAGGATATTGAAATGGAATCAGCAAAGTTAAATTCCCACAGTCCTGTATGTGAAATATTTGAAATACTGATATTACTATATTCCTCCCTCCCTCCCTACTGCCTGGCAACCATCCTCAAATTTAGCTTCAGTTTGGGAAAGTCCATAGTAGGTAGCATTTAATATGAAGCATTAATTTAACTAAACCAATACAAGATTTATTCTGCAGAGGCTTAACTCTGATTCGTTGTTGTTAATGTCAGTAACTTCACAGAGGAGTAAATAAAAGGAATTATTTAAAATTATATTTTAAACATCTTAAATGTATTGTAAAGAATTAAAGCTATAATAAGTCAGTGATATGATGGAAAGACTTGAATATTGTATTTAATAATACTCCTTTAGAGGATAAATTTTGATAAACTTTATATTATTATAAATAATAAACTTTGGAGGCATGAAAATCAGCTTCAGTCTTGTAGCAATATTTTCAGAACTCAGTACTTCTGAAGTCACTCCTAAAGAAAGAGAGGTCATCTGGTAGTTCCCTTTCCATCATAGTAGCTTTGATCACTTTCAGAAGCATAATCTCTTAAGAGTAAGCTCAGAAATGATAGAATTTTAGAGCTAAAAGGGACCTTGAAATTACTTGGCACAGTTCATTCCTTTTCATCGATCCCTTTACTAAGAAAACTAAGGCTCAGTGAGATGACTTGCCTAAGATGTAGGGCCAGGATTAGAACCAAGAGTCCTGACTCCCACTCTAGGGCTTAAGTGGTTGGAAGCCCCTGAATGAGCCAGAGCTCTCATAGGTGGTGAGGAACGGTTCCTACCATTAGTTGACTGTCTGCCTCTTGCTAGTGAACTCTCAGAGTAAAATCATGTCTTATTTAGCTTTGTATCCTCTCATGTGCCTTGGACATCTTGAGGCTCAACAAATGCTCATTGACTGTGGTCGGACAAATGGATTTTAAGTTCAAAATATATTTAGGAAGTAAAAAGCAGGAAAACGTATCTCTTTTCCCAAGTGAAGAAGTTTTCTGACAACAGAATCAAATGTTGGCAGTAAATTACCTTAGAATTAACCTTAGAATTTTTCTAGATATGAAGCCACTGTTTAATTTTCATGCCTCCAAGATTTAAGAAAAAATTGCTTAAGACTTATAAGTGTGCATATTTACTTACTTGGCATAATTATTCACCAGAAAAACAGGAGATGGAGTCAGAACATCTGGTAGATCTTGCCTCTGTCACAGTGTCTAATAGAAACTTTGAAGCTGATCAGAATTGGGACTGAAACTCAGCTCTGCCCCTAACAAGCAGGGCTCTCTGCAACAAGTTACTTTACTTTTTGGGGCATTCTCTTACCTCTGAAGTGGGGGTAATACTATTTACCTAAAAGGATTGTTGTGAGACTGAGATAGTGTATATAAAGCACATGTTATACAGAATATATGAGGCCCTTGATAAGTGATAATTGCTGTAGTTATGACTACTTAATTATGTGACTATGTAATCTCTCAAAGCTTCAGTTTTCTTAACTGGAGAATTGGTGGTTGAGATTGAGGGAGGAGAATTAAATGATCACTAAGATCTTGTCCACCTCTGTGGTTTAGGAACCAATAAAGAATGTACAATTCTCCTGCAATTTTAGTTTAAATAAATCAATTCATACATCTTTGCTCCAATAAGAGGAACTGCAAGAATGATTAGTTTCTAGGCCTTCCTTAGAATTTGTCTTAGTTAACTATGATGACATTAAGTACATTTTCATTATTTTATATGCTGTATGATAGATATGAAGTTAACATGAATATTTCAACCTCTTATTCAGCTTACTATATATAAATCAGTATAAGGAGTATATGGGTTAGTCAGACATAGACACCCCTTCTTTGAGAGGCTTGAGTCATGTAGAGAGTATAAGACAGATAACCAAAGCCTATATGACATGGAAGAACTGTTAGGTATAAAGAAAATACTTTGTGAATTCCTCCTCCAAGAGGAGGAAAAACTACTTCTAGTCACAAAAATTGGGAAAGACTTAATTAGGGAATTTTGAGCAAGGCCTTAAAGAATTGGTAGGACTTCAACTGTCAGAGATGTGGGAACTGTACTAAGACTTGAAGGAAAGGATTTAAGGGCTTATCCAGGAGCTGGAAAGAATGTAGTCAAACTGGGGGTTGGGGAGCCTGGAGTCAGTATAATGGGAGAGAAGGCTCTATGGGAAAATTAGGACCATATTGTGAAGCATTTTGAATGCTGGGCTAAGGAGTCTGTTTAGCAGGCAATAGATAGCTGTCAGAGGTATTTTAAGTGGGGGAATGATGTGATCAAAGCTATGCTTTAAGAGATTAATCTGCATCACGAGAGCCACAGGTAGTCCAGTTACAAGTTATTAAAATAGTCTCCAGAAGAGAAGAAATGAGCACCTGAATTAGGGTAGATGCAGGTGGGTTGTACAAAAAACTGTAGAAGTAAATTCAGCAGATCTTGTTGCCTAATTGGATGTGGGAGTTGAGGGAGAAGTCAAAGACAGCTAGTGAGTGACTTAGGATGGCAATAATGGGGATTGAAATAGGCAGGCAGAAAGGGCCACTAGTAAAGCACCTGCAAGTATTATGAAATCAATAAATATTTGTCTAATTAATTGGAGGTGATTATAAGTTTGGATTTGGATATGTTAACTTTTTTGTGCCTACAGACCATACAGATGGATGAAAGCCATAAAAAATAGGGAAAGATTCAAGGCATCTTTATGGAGGGGAATAGTGAACCTGTGAGAACAGTTCAGAGTGTAGGTGAGAAGAATAAAAGT